GATGGGGTTGATTTTTTTTCTTGTGAATTTGTTTAAGTTCTTTGTAGATTCTGGGTATTGGCCCTTTGTCAGATGGATAGATTGCAAAAATTTTCTCCCGTTCTGTAGGTTGCCTGTTCACTCTGATGGTAGTTTCTTTTGCTGTGCAGAAGCTCTTTAGTTTAATTAGATCCCATTTGTCAATTTTGCCAGCCAGGCCACTCTTAAATGTCGGATCAGGTGTTGTGTTCCTTGGGTGCGCAGTCACCGGGAGATGTTTCTGTCTTTGTCTGACCAGGCACACAGGAGGTGGAGTGGCGTGGGTCTGGATTAGCATCCGTCGTTTCAAAGCAGAAATGAAAATGATGCTGTTGTGCTTGAGCGGATCACAAAAGAAGCAGCAAACTTGGATCTCGGTGGCTTCTGTATGAGGAAAGCGTTTTATTGTTTATCTCTGTCTCATTGATCTCTTCTCTCTTTGGGAAAGAGGATGAGATTGCACAGTGTTGCTCCATGGGGTTCGCTGGATTGAGATGAGTGTGTGTCCCACCTTCCCATGAGCAGACCAGCTTCTTGATTACCAACACGCCCTGCCCATGTCAGGCCAGCTCAGAAGCTACCTGATGGCAGGATTGTTGCCTGTGTCAGTGAGTCCCCAGTGCTTAGAATCGGGCCTAACACGTAGTGGGCCTTCAGTAAATATTTGCTAAATCAATCTCTAAAGTTAGCTGGAACGCTAAGTATGGTATATATTTCTATTTGCTTAAAATGTTCTGTGTTTTTGTTTTGTGGAGACGAGGTCTTGCTGTGTTGCCCAGGCTCTTCTCAAACTCCTGGCCTCAAGGGATCCTCTCACCCACCCCTTCCTCTCAACGTGTTACAGGCATGAGCCACTACCTCTGGCCTGTTTTTGTTTTCAGAAAAAATAAATTATTTTGCCCCCTGCAAGGCAAATTTTCTAACATTTTACCTTTCTAGGTCTCAGGGAAGTGGCAGAATTTTTTATTACATCAACTGCTAGTCTGTTAAATTTCCAAACAGCAAGCCTTGTTCTGCTATAGACTATTACAGTAAATAACTGCGACTTTTGCTTTCACTCCCTTGCTTTCTGTTGCCATCTCTGGGTTCGTTGCTTTTGATTCCCTCTGAGCAAGACTAGTCAAAGGGAGGGAAAGAGAAAGTGAAAATAGAAAACTATTCTAACATTTGAGGGAGGAGAGGCAAAAAGCAATACTGAAAACCAAGATATCTTACTTCTCTACCTACAAACTTCTTTGCATAAAATGATCTAATGCAATCCGTGTAAAATGATATCAACTATAGAATCAGCCAGCCAATTTTGGAATAAGGAGAGATATTAAAATAGATTGCTTTGATTTAAGTCACCTGAACGGTAGGTTACATCTCGTCAAGAGTACTGGCCAGCCGGCTTTCGCCTTCGTTCCATGTCAATACGCCCAGCTGACTTTTGTTTGTTTCTTAGTTTGACATCAACAACAAGATCGAGTTCCGACGCTCTGCAGGGGCGATATGCAGCTCCTGAACTGGAAGTAAGTTCATTTCCTTTTCCTGTTCTGCTTCATCTCAGAAGATCCATTTCTCAGGAGGACCTTTTGTGTTTGTGTCTTTATCAATCTGCATTCCATGATCCTGTTTTTCTGCTTGGGAAAAAAGAGATTTTTGTATAGAAAAATAAATGCTGGCCGGATGTGGTGGCTCACACTTGTAATCCCAGCACTTTGGGAGGCTGAGGCGGGTGGATCACCTGAGGTCAGGAGTTCAAGACTAGCCTGGCCAACATGGTGAAACCCCATCTCTACTAAAAATACAAAAATTAGCCAGGTGTGGTGGTGCACACCTATAGTCCCAGCTACTTGGGAGGCTGAGACACGAGATTCACTTGAACCCTGGTGGCAGAGGTTGCAGTGAGCCAAGATCATACCACTGCACTCCAGCGTGGGCAACAGAGTGAAACTGACTCAAAAAAATAAAAGAAAAAGGAAAAATACATGCTTTCTTGCTTTCCTTCGTATGCTATGGGATTAAAATGAATCAGTCCATTCTTGATTTTCTGTAAGAAAGCTGGCCTTTTGGGTGGCATCCTGCCACTCGCCCCCAAACAGAGGCTTGGGTAACCTTGTCAGGCTGCACCCTGCGCTCTTCCCTTGCCATAATGGGGTCTGGGTGGGTTTTATTTTAACTTCTGATCCATCCACCTGTTTCATACTTGTCTGTGCCCTCCATACACAGCATGGCTGTGAGATTATGTAATAACTGTTTGGAAGGAAGGAGGGAGGAAAGGGAAGGAACTGTATCTGCTCTGCCTGATGCTGTTGAACGCTGTTGACACTGTTGAACTGAATGTCAGTTCCATCAGGTGGGCGTTTTGTCAGGTAGAGTGTTATGAACAATACATTGGTTGCCTGCACATCCAGAGCCTCCAGGTGTTCAGCAGGTGCCTGTCAGTCAACAAAATGTCTGTTACTTTCTTAATTGTGCAAAGGTCTTTCTGGGGCTCTCATCTACCAACATCAGAAGGGTCTAATCAGATGGAGACAGCCAGGGAAAGACTCAGCTGTGACCCAAGAATGAAAAGAACCAGGGGTTCCAAGCATGACTAAGACTTACAGCACTTGCTATGTCCCAGGCACTGTTCTAAGTTCTTCCTATGTGATTTCACTTAATCCTCATAAAAACCCAGTGACGTGCTGTTACCTCCATTTTACAGAGGGGAAAACCAGCAGAGTGAAGTCATTTAAGCCTCACAGGTTTTGATTTGCCAGAATGTAAACCGTGTACTCTGGCCCCAGAGTCTGTGTTCTTGACCACTGCTGCCCAGGAGCTGAGCTGCTGAACCCTGGTTCTTCCTGCTGACTGGGGGCAGCTGGCATCCGGCCACCGCGTGCATTCTAATAGCTTTCCGTGGATGGAAAAGCCCTGGTGTCTGTCCAGATATGGGCACTTCACTCTGCAGCTGGATGTCTGGGGATGGGATGGTCTCTCTTGCACCTGACCTGGAGATAGTGAGCCATTATGAAGGGTTGTCAGTCTGCCAGCATCATTCTCCAACTCTTTCTGTTGCCCAAAGGAGAAAACTGTGCTGAGTTTGAATAGGTTACTGCCTATTATACAGAAGAGAATGGTCTGTAGAAGGGGTGTTTGTTCTCATCATTGACTAGGTGACCACCTGCTGAGGTTGTATGGTTATGGTTTCAATGTCCCTATTGTGTACAGAGTTCAAGCTCAAAGAACAGCAAGTCTCCAAGTTAGATTGAAGAGAGGATGTTTTTCTTCTCAGTCCAAGGGAAAATGTCCTAGTATTTCCTTCTGAACTGGAGAGCATGCAGGATGGAAGTTGGTTTGCTCTCCTGCATCACATTTCACAGGATACAACTTTGAAAGTGAGAGTTCATAGTTTCTTACAGTAACTTGAGCTTCAAAAGAACTAAGACCTCAGCATACCGTGTCTTGAGCCCATTGAATGAATTAGTGGTTTTTAGACCATGCCACTTAATCCAAGCTCCTGTTAAGGCTAATACCTCTGTTAAAGGTTTCCTTGCCAAGCAGGGAAACAAGGGCTTGGCCTTGATATGCAAATGAGATGAAAGCTCAAGCTCTCATATTCTCATCCTTGGCTCTCTGTTCTTTGTAGTTGAAATATCTTCAGCCACAAAGTGCTAAGGGCACTGCACTTCCCAGGCAGTCTTCATACTCTGTTTACCAGAGTCTTTCTGAAATCACGTACTTTTTTTCTTTTCTTTTCTTTTCTTTTCTTTTAATTTTATTTTATTTTTTTGAGACAGGGCCTCTGTCACCCAGGCTGGAGTGCAGTGGTGGGATCACAGCTTACTGCAGCCTCAAACTCATAGGCTTAAGCAGTCTTCCTCCCTCAGCCTCCCAAATAGCTGGGAATACACATAATCTGATTTTTTTAAATTAAGTTTATTGTTTTGAGTAGGTAAGAAATAATGGCTGGGCGCGGTGGCTCACGCCTGTAATCCCAGCACTTTCAGAGGCCAAGGCCGGCAGATCACCTGAGACCTGGAGTTTGAGACCAGCCTGACCAACAGGGAGAAACCCTGTCTCTACTAAAAATACAAAATTAACCAGGTGTGGTGGCGCATGTCTGTAATCCCAGCTACTCAGGAGGCTGAGGCAGGAGAATTGCTTGAACCTGGGAGGCAGAGGTTGCAGTGAGCCAAGATCGTGCCATTGCACTCCAGCCTGGGCAATAAGAGTGAAACTCCATCTCAAAAAAAAAAAAAAAAAAAGAAAAAGAAAAGAAATAATGATTTAAAAAATTCACAGGGTACCAGAGATGCTTCAAAGGCAAGCATTCCCTCCATCCCTGTCCACGGCCCATGCAGCAGCTTGATTTTGATAGGAAACATGGGTAGGCTGCTTCCAGATTCCTTCGCTTTATTATTTCAGATTCTCCGGCTTCACCAAGCTCCTAGACACCACGTGTTACTATTGTGAATCATGGATCTTGGCGTCCCCATCCTGCATTCGTCTGTCCCAGCTCTGACACTAAGCTAGTTTGGTGACTTTGGCCAGTTAACCTGCCTGACCCGTTTCCTCAGCTGTACGCAGGATAATCATAAGCCCAATGCAAAGGTCAAAGAGGATTTAATGAAACAGCATTGAAGGCAAAGCACGAGAAGGGAACACCGGGGGAGTGGGGCTCTTGTCCCATTCATTGGGTTTCACATTAAGTTCTCCAGAAGCAGAGGCTGAGGCAGTTTGTTGCGTGGGGTATTTATTAAATTCAGCACATGTGGAGGGAGAAGGGGAAGGAGGCAAAATTGGGCAGAGGGTGAAGTTGAAGGACAGTGCAGCTGGACAAAGCCTCCCTAACCCCAGGGGCCATGATGGCATGGCCTTTACCCCTGCCGTGATCAGCCAGTCCATGGCGGTTACCCGAGAAGGGTAAAGGAGCTGCTGTCTCAAGGCTCTGCTGCCAGCGTTCATGGTAGCAGGAAAAAGCATCAAGTCCATGGATGAGGATCTCTGGCACATGTCCCTCCATGGTGTTTCCTGTCACCAACGCCCAGCACACCTGGGAAAGAACAGTCCACATGTTTTGAAGGGATACATGCAATTCAGGGCCTGGGAGGTTGTTCGAATAAGGGTTACTGCTGCCTTACCGAGGTGGACTAGAAATAGAACACAAGCCGCCTGACTGTTGCTTTTGCTTTCACAGATAGCCCGCTGTTGTTTTTGCTTCAGTCCTGGTGGAGAGGGTAAGCAGAGTACTTTTATTCTTTGCATCTGTGTGACACTGCGGTCCTATAGCTCTAATCTGTTGTCATTTGGGATTCAGACACAAATAACTTGAATAGTAAGGGGAAGTTTATTCTAAAGCTGATTGACTGCTTATATACTTTTCACATTCTTCCTGAAGGATAGCTGAGTTTAGTTTGTGTTGTTATTCTGGTAGGGAGAATCAGTCCAAATTTTGGTTTATATGTAAGTTAAATTATACAGTGAGATTTAGAGAATCAGAAAGCACATTTTAAAAAAAGGAATGATTTGGAAAATACCAAGAGGTCCTGATACCTTATTTTGGGGCCATTTCATTCCTTCACCTTACTTTCCTTCTTGGATTGGAGGATTCCAAGGGCTTAAGAACTAACTCTTGTTTTACTCTCTCTCAGTTTCTGCAAAGCTTATAGTAAGTTTTACGTCTTTAGGGGTTTTTAAGGGTTCTCTTTCTGTTAAAATAAATGTGGCAGACCAGGCGCAATGGCTTATGCCTATAATCCCAGCACTTTGGGAGGTTGAGGC